AAAAAAAAAAAAAAAAAATGTTGCCTAAGGTTAATCCTGCTCTTTCCGATTGTCCTCAGCCCTGCCTTCCCACTTGTTCTCTGGGGAGAACAAGGTGAAAGGGAGAAGGTCGCAAGGTGGCTTCTTTAATCCTGATTAATTCATCTTTGGCAAAGAGTACAGACTCGTATGGCTTAATTTAAAGTAAAGATTTGTGTGGGAACCTAGAACCCAGAAAACCAGGATCTTCACCAAACATTTGTGCGTCCTGAATATTCTTAGCTCTCCAGCCTCACATTCTGTTTCTTAACAGTGCAGGCACTGATGAACTTTGAAGACAAGTAAAGCCGACAATGGATGGCTTCAATATCTTTGGCAAAATATAATGAAGGGAATAGTTGGAAATGGAGAATTCAAAGTATAAATGTCTAATAAATACTGCTGATAATTGCTCAGTGGTCTGTCTCTGGGACATAGGGGATACTGAAAGGTATAAGGTTAGTCGAAAAAGTTAGTTCAGGTGCCGATGGGGCCTGTGCTCCTTGGCTTTCTACCCTTTCCACAGCTCCTGAGTCTGACTCTTTCCTTGACTTTGTCACTATGGCCCCCACCCTTCCTGCAAGGTCTTCTTCCTATTAGAGTCTTAATTTCGCTATTTCCCTCCCTGGTGGATACAGGCCACTCTGGTGGTGGGGGGTAGGAGGGAGTTCAGGAAGGAGATCCCAGGAACTGTTAGTGTAACTAATTAAGAACTATTGTTTCCATTGCCTACTCTATGAATATTGCTTCTCCTGTACACCATTAACTTTAATCAAGCATCATCTTCACCTGTTTCTGGGCCAAAAGAGAGTCCCTTTATTCCATTTACTTCCCATTGCTCAGGGCAATGATTCCACTCTGTAGAAGCGTTCAAATCAGTAAGTGTCCCATAAATATTTAGTGTTGGGAGGGACCTCAGAGTTTCTCTCTCATCAAAACGGGAACACCTTTTAGAACATCACTGAAAGGGGCATTATCCAGCTGATGCTTAAGGTTTCTAGTTACTGGGGATTCATTATCTAGAAAGAATCCCACTCCATTGTTGGGGACTCAAGTCTTTAGAAATGTTTGTTATTAAAAATTCTATCGTTTATTGAGTGCTTAACATAAAAAACACTGAGTTATGCACTTTAGAATGGTGAATTTTATGTTATGTGAGTTATGTCTCAATTTTTAAAATGAAATAAGTAAAGATTATCTACAACCAAGAACCAAGATTATATTTCAAGGAAAAGCATTTTAGTTATTCCTCACAAAATGAGGAACAAAACAAAAATGTTTTAAAAATAAATCTCAATATATAATGTATTAAAAATCCTATCATAAGAAATATGGCATAGGGCCGGCCCCGTGGCTTAGCGGTTAAGTGCGCGCGCTCCGCTGCTGGCGGCCCAGGTTCGGATCCCAGCGCGCACTGACGCACCGCTTCTCCAGCCATGCTGAGGCCGCATCCCACATACAGCAACTAGAAGGATGTGCAGCTATGACATACAACTATCTACTGGGGCTTTGGGGGAAAAATAAATAAATAAAATTATTTAAAAAAAAAGAAATATGGCATAAATATTTGGAAAGAACTAAAAATACTATTTTTAGACACAATTATATACCTAGAAACCTCAAAGGAATCAGGTAGAATTAGAGATAACAAAGGATTTCCATTAAGTACAAATAGAAGAAAAGAAGGCTGGAGGCAGACACCTGGGAAATAGGAACATTTAAGGGATAGGAGGAGGAGGAGGAGCAGCCAGCAAAGAAGCCTGAAAGAGAAAAGCTGAAGAGACAGGAGGATAATCATTCCAGAGTAATGTGCCTAGAGCCAAGATATAATTTCAAGAAAGGAATGGTCCGGTAAGATCTGTATTGGAGCATTCATTGAACCTGGCAATCAGAATACAATAAACATAATAAAACAGAGTAAGGAAGCATATTTAATAAATCTTACATATGCTATCTACAAAGTAGATGTTCTTTGAGTAGCTTTGCTCAAAGTGTGGTCTGAGGACAAGCAGAATTGGATTCACCTGGTAACTTGTTACACACACAGAATCCCATCCTCAGGGCCTATTGAATCAGGTGTTACATATGCACATTAAAGTTTCAAAATGCTTTATAGGTATTTGATGATTGATCCCCTCCTGGCTTTCTATAGCTGACCTTCTCAAATGAATGGTCTATGCATGCTGCGTCGTTCTTTAACTCCTTCCTTAATGAAAATGATCTGGTTTCAATGCTACTGGAATGGAAGTTTATTCAATAAATGTTTGTTGAGTTCCTATGTTCTAGACACTCTTCTAGGCATTGGGATACATCAATGAACAAACAAGACAGAAATCCCTGCCATCCTAACTTGTTCCTCATAAGATCACCAAGTAATAAATAACTTCCATGAAGACAGTGATTTTACTCCTCTCATTTTTCCCCCCAAATTATCTTTCCAGCAGCCCAGAGCCATGTAATAATAGCTGCTCAAAAACAAAAACAAAACCTTTTATGACTAAATACAGATATTCTAAGGTCTAAGATCAAGTCCACTGGCAATGACTCCATTACTCCTCCAGCTTCCTTTTTATCCTTGCCCTGACTGAGTATCCTTCCTATAGCTTTCACCACTATTCTTAAGTCAAGGAAGAGATTCAAACTCTATGCCAGATAACTCTTAAGAGTTCCTCAGGAGCATTTTGGAAGTGAAGTTAGGATTTAGATATTGTTGTGATATAATTAAATTTAAATTTTTTTCACATAAGGTTTGTATTAAGCTTTTATTTTGGAACACAGTTTTCCCCTTTGATCTCCAATTATTACTTTTATCTTCAAATACCATACTGGAACTTAAACCAGTATGTTCCCAGTTGGAAGCAAAAAAGTTAATATTTGTTTTATTATAGCATAAAATATATAAAAATAATGCAAGAAGGAAAGAGAAATGTATTTATAACAGTACAGCTTCTACCTACTGTATTAATATGATAACTTTTTTTTTTTTTGGTGAGGAAGGTTAGCCCTAAGCTAACATCTGTTGCCAATCCTCCTCTTTTTTGCTGAGGAAGATTGGCCCTGGGCTAACATCTGTGCCCATCTTCCTCTACTTTATATGTGGGATGCCTGCCGCAGCATGGCTTGATAAGCAGGGTGTAGGTCCGCGCCCAGAATCCGAACCCATGAACCCTGGGCCGCCAAAGCAGATCACATGAACTTAACCACTACACCACTGGGCCAGCACCTTCCTACAATTATTAATTGGAGTTCTTTTGCAAAGAATTGTCCCTTCTCTGGGGTGAACATTTTAAGTCTTTGGGTGGAAGCGGCAAACTTATCACCATGGTAGAGTTCTTAGCCCCTATAATATGGGCCAGGAATGTGTGGGGTGGAATGAATTTATTTAACAAATCCTTTGTTTAATACTATGTGTCAGTAACTGTGTTAGGCACTTGGGGTATAACAGAGTGTGGTCTCTGCTCAAGAGCTTATAGTCTAGTCCAAGGTAAGATGATACTTATGTTTCTGTATTGAAGACTAGGTGGATTCCTCTGAGTAGCATATGACCCCACAAAAGCCTCTGTAGGACCAAAAAAGAATACTTATTTGACTGACTTATCTCCCTATTTTTCATCCTGTCTTCAGTGAGGACAAACTGGACCTCCTCCCCTCAACCTCTGTGTCTATCCCTCAACACCACTAACTAGAGGTCTTCATTGCTTCATTTCCTCTTCCCAAATCTCACACCACCTTGTCTTGTTGGCCAACCATAATATGAAACCATACAGGGAAAGGTTTAGCTAAACTGACAAAGTTCAAAACCATCACAGATTATTTTGACCATTGACCAACACCACTTGACCAACACCACTTTCTTCAGGTGTTCCTTTGGATTGCATCACCTCCACTTTTGTTGCTAGCCATCTTTTCAAGCTTTCAATATGTGGTCCTCAGCGATTTTTGCTTCATACTCTGCAAACTTTCTAACTAGTTTCATCCACTTTTATGGTTTTAACTACTATCTGTATCTAAGGATTTCCAATTCCATTTTCAGCTTAGACTTCTCTTAGAAACTCCAGGGGAAAATATTCAGTTTTCTGTCCTCAGGCACTTCATTTATACTGTGTCCAAAACTGAACTCATTACTGTTCCTTCAAACCTTTTCTTCCTCTTTTAATCCCAATGAGGACTGCCAAGCAATTTCCCTGGGTTGGGAGAGTCCTCAGTGATCTCCTCCCTACTTAACTCAACTGTTCCATATTTTTTCTGAAGATATTTCACTTAAGACACTGCTTCTTATACCAATTTTTGTATTGATTAAGATTCTTTTAGTAGCAAAAAAAAGAATTCATTTTGAGCCAGTCTAATCATAGTAGTAGCTACATTTAGTGGATCTAAACCAGTGCCTGGCACATCATAGGCACTTTGTAATACAAGGGAATAAATATAATTGGATAAATGGGTAATATTATCTCCATTCTACAGAGGGGTGAATTACAGAAATTTTCCCTGAGCATAGAACTAATAAATGATAGACTGGGGACCTAGACTTCAGGGACCTAATATCAAAATATAAACATAATTTTAAAATGTCTTAACCTGGAGAGTCAAAAGCTCTACTGCAAGAACAAATTAACCCTGAAACCTCAGTGGTTTAACACAAGAAAGGTTTATTTCTCACTCAGGAAGATTCCAATACTGATTGGGAACAACTGGTCAAGGCAACGACTGTTGATTCTTGTTATTCACGGTAGTTATGTTCTATAAAATTGCTGCAAACACTGAATTAGCAAACACTGAACTCTTGCTCCTAGAGGGAATAAGGGTTAGGTTCCTGCAAGCTTCCGTCACAACATTTTCATCAACCAATGGCCAGATAACCTTGTTTTATGTTTTGTGTTTTATGTAAGGTGTTTCTGTTTAAAGACACCTTATTTAATACATGTTGTTGACTCATTAGCATTGAGCTCTCTGTAAACAGCACTATAACTCATGCTTGAATGAAGTTTATCTAACACACATATTTTCTTTCTAAGGCACATCACAGTCTTCCTGCACTTAGGAATACCAGAAAGCACTTCAGCACTAAGCTTGGGGGGCCATTTTATTTTATTTTATTTTTTATTTATTATTTTTAAGATTTTATTTATTTATTTTTTTCCCCCCAAAGCCCCAGTAGATAGTTGTATGTCATAGCTGCACATCCTTCTAGTTGCTGTATGTGGGACGCGGCCTCAGCGTGGCCGGAGAAGCGGTGCATCGGTGGGCGCCCGGGATCCGAACCCGGGCCGCCAGCAGCGGAATGCACGCGCTTAACCGCTAAGCCATGGGGCCGGCCCTATTCATAGGGTTTTCATGGCCAACTTTTTTGGAAGTGAGTGGCCAGTTCCTTCTTCCTAGTCTGTCTTAGTCTGGAAGCTCCACTGAAACCC